TAACCCAAAGTACAAAATAAATATCCAGCTATAAATAAATGATTAAATAATAAATGAATAAGGGAAAAGAGACACGCTCCATGCAGACAATTCCAAATAGTTTATTTAACCACTCACCTACTGAAGGACAGACATCTTGATTGCTTGCACATCTTGCTGATCCTGAATACAGCTGTTTGGCAAACATCTGGGTGCAGGTTTTTGTGTGGACATAAATTTTCAACCCCTCTGGGGAAATAGCAGGGAGCACAATTGCTGGATCGTGTAAGAATACGTTCAGTTTTGTAAGAAGCCACCAAACTGTCTTCCAAAGTGGCCGTATTCCCACCATGTTGCGTTCCCACCAGCAATGCATGAGGGGTCCAGTTGCGCCCCATGCAAGTGCCCTGACCTGGCATCGAACTGCGACCTTTGGGTGCAGGGGATGACGCTCTACCAATTGAGTCACCCTGGTGGTGTCTTGCTTTAATGTGCAATTCCCTAATGACTTATGATGTGGAGCACCTTTTCATATGCCTTTCTGCCCCTTGGAATTCTTCTTTGGTGACTGTTCAGATCGTTTGCTCATTTTTAATTGAGCTGTTTGTCATTTTTATTGTTGGGTTTTAAGAGTTCCAGGTATATTTTGAATTCCAGTCCCTTATCAGATATGCGTTTTGCAAAGATTTCCCCCCAGCCTGTGGCTTGACTTTTCTTTCTCTTAACAGTGTTGCTCGCAGAGCAAACATTTAAACTTTTGACACAGTCCCGTTTATCATTTTATCTTTCATGGACCATGCTTTTCCTATTGTATTTTTTAATACTTTAAAAATTGATTTCAGAGACAGCAAGGGAGAGGGAGAGATAGAAACATCAATGATGAGAGAGAATCATTGATCGGCTGCTTCCTGCACGCCCCACACTGGGGATCGAGCCCACCACCTGGGCATGTGGCCTGACGGGGAATCGAACCGTGATCTCCTGGTTCATAGGTCGACGCTCAACCACTGAGTCACACCGGCTGGGCTTTCCTGTTGTATTTAAAAACTCATCAGCAAGCCAAGGTAAAACAGATTTTCTCCCGTGTTATCTTGTAGAAGTTTGGCATTTTACATTTATGTCGATGAGCCACTTTGAGTTCATTTTTCTGTAAGGGGTGCCCTAAAAGGGTTTTCAAAAAGCTCTTTATCCAACACCACCCAGCACACACACACACACACACACACACACACACACACACATTTTGAAGTTCACATCTACAATATTTCAACAGATATTTAAACAGCTGGGGGGGGGTGGCCTAGCCGGTTTGGCTCAGTGGATAGAGTGTCAGCTGCAGACCGAAGGATCCCTGTTCAATCCCGGTCAAGGGCACGTACCTCAGTTGCAGGCTCTGCCCTGGCCTAGGCCCTGGTCAGGGCGCATGCAGGAAGCAACCAATTGATATGTTTCTCTCACCTTGATATTTCTCTCTGTCTTTCCCTCTCTCTCTTCCACTCTCTCTAAAAATCAATGGCAAAATATCCTCAGGTGAGGATTTTAAAAAAAACCGGCACACACCGCTGTGGGGGGTGTAATTTCTGATGTATTGCAAATACTGATTTAAGACAAAAATTGTGAAATCACTTTTTATAGGAGCCCAGTGGCATCAAAACCACCTGTGAGCTGGTACTGTGTCCCCCTCACATCTGCCCGCTGGCTCTTCTTTCCCAGGCTGCCTTTGGAAGCTCCCTTTCATTCCTGCCGCCTCTTTTCATCTGTGGCCCCTCGAGAGGTCCCCACGTGCCATCTTTCTCCTGTGGCAGTCTTCCGTCATTCCTCCATCACACTTCTCTGAAACACACATGTATATGTTACATTTCTTCTTATAACCCATGACCATGGGGCTCTGATATATATTATTGATTTCAGAGAGGAAGGGAGAGAGAGAGAGAGAAACATCAATGATGAGAATCACGGATCCGTGCCTCCTGCATGCCCCCTACTGGGGATCTGGCTGCAACTCGGGCTTGTGCCCTGACTGGGAATTGAACCGTGACCTCTGGGTTCATAGGTGGATGCTCAACCACTGAGCCATGCCGGCCGGGCTGACCATGTTTCTTCTGCATAATCATTAAACAAACAAGCAAGATGAGCTTGTCTGTGTCAAACAGGACTCACTGCCAGTGCCATTCCTCTTTTCTGCCCTTAGGTGTAAGCCCTAGGAAAGCCTGTTGGCAGGGATGCAGGGATGAGCAGTTGGGAGTGAGGCCCACGCTGCCCCGTGCTGGGGCCCCTGGGGGCTTCTAGAGTGAACTGGGAGGGGCCATTGGGAAAGGGTGGGGGGACCAGAATGGGAGGGGGCCTTCTCAGACTTACCAATTTTGGGACAGAATACATGTGGGAGTTGTGCTCTGGAAAGATGATTTTTAAAAAACCTCTGCCTGCCTGGCCGGTGTGGTTCAGTGGTTGAGCGTCAACCTATGAGCCAGGAGGTCACGGTTCAATTCCCGGTCAGAGCACGTGCCTGGATTGCAGGCTCCAGCCCCAGTGTGGGGTGTGCAGGAGGCAGCCGATCAATGACTTTCTCTCATCATTGATTTCCTATCTCTCTCTTTCTCCCCCTCTCCCTTCCTCTCTGAAATAAATAAAAATGTATTAAAAATAAACAACACACCTCTCTCTGCCCCATGATTCCTAAGACTTTGTGCCATGCCAGGGGCTTACAGACCCCTGTGAAGATGAATTCAGCAAGTCACTCCTGGACCCTGTGCCGCGATACAGCCCCTGCAGCTCTGGATCTTTTGGCCACGCTCCTGTCAAGAGCCAGGACACCCACTCCCCATCCCTGGTGAGGCCTGGACCCCCCGGGCAGTGCGCCAGAACCCATGGGACGGAGTGGGAGGAATCCACTAGTTGCTGAAGGATTGAAGCTGGTCAGCCAGCACTCATTTCCTGAGCACGTCCCCTGGGTGGGTCAGCGGACACATTTTGAGGAAGTGGATGTCCTGGTGAGGAACAGACGCAGAAGGAGATGGATCCTCTGAAGACAGGGCTGTGGGAGGGGGCAGGGCAGGCCTGTTTGGAGAGGTGACATTTGAGCTGAGACCCGGTAAACAGCATTTGGGGCAGAGAGGCAGCGAGTGAAAGTGTGAGTGTGTCTGAGGGCCATGTATGGTACACACCCCACGTGCTGTGTGTTTGGGGGCCAGTCAGGAAGCCAGTGTGGCTGGAGTTGGGTGGAGCTGCTTGAGCGAAGGGGAAAGTGGGTGGAGAGGGGCCAGAGCAGTGATGGGAAAGGGGTCCAATCATAGAGTCCTTAGGCCATGCCCTAGCTGGGTTGGCTCAGTGGATAGAGCGTCAGCCAGGACTAACGGATCCTGGGTTTGATTCCAGTCAAGGGCTTGTATCTCGGTTACAGGCTTGAGCCCCTGCCTTGGTTGGGGCATGTGTGGGAGGCAACCAATTGATGTGTGTCTCTTACATGGATGTTTTTCTCTCTCTGTCTCTCCCCCTTCCCTTCCACACTCTCTAAAAATCAATGGAGCCCAGCTGGTGTGGCTCAGTGGTTGAGCGTCGACCTGTGAACCAGGAGGTCACAGGTTCGATTCCCAGTCAGGGCACATGCCCGGGTTGCAGGCTCGATCCCTAGTAGGGGGTGTGCAGGAGGCAGTCGATCAATGATTCTCTCTCATCATTGATGTTTCTATCTCTCTCCTCCCTTCCTCTCTGAAATCAATAAAAATATATTTTAAAAAATCAATGAAAAAATATCCTCAGGTGAGGATTAACAGAGTGCTTAGGCCACTGTGAGGACTCAGGCTTTGACTTGGAGTGACATGGAAAGCCCAGGGGTGACATGATCTCAATACAGGGAATGCTCTGGCCGCAGCTTGGAGCAGAGACCGGGGTAGGAGAGGTTAAGGCTGGGTTCAGCGGGCGGAGGGAGCCCAGTGAGTAGGCCGTGGCTGTCCAACTGCAGAAGTGGCAGTGGCAGGGCTGGGCTAGGGAAAGAGACCGTTTTAGACCAACTGGCCTGGATGGAGCAGAGACCCGAAGGCTCACAGTCATGTCAACGTGCGGGTGAAGAGACTTCGGGGATGGAAGGACATTTGGTCGTGCAAAGGCCCTGGGGCCGGCCCCAGCCAAAGCCCGCCAAGGGGCCGAAAGCCGGTGGGAACCCGGCATGGAATGGACCCCAGGAGGGAAGGCGGCAGCCGGGAGGGGGGCGAATTTGGCCTTAACAAGGGGCCCTGA